TCGATAAAATATTCAGTTATTGTGCAGGTTACTATGGATTTTTACATGGTGCTAAATATATGTAGAACATTTTTTAAAATAAATTGCTAGAAGGTAAACTTTTATTGCAGAAGAGAAAGTATGTTGCCCCTGCCAGAAAAAAAAACAAATCTGCATTTCCTGTTAGCTGCTTTCTTCTGATTATACACTGAGCTGTGTATGTGACGAGGGAGACTGCAGACATCACATTGTTGCACATTATGGAAGAAGCACACCCATGATTATTGATAAAAACTAATAAATAATACAATTATTAGTCTTGTTGTACAAACAGAAGGGAATAGGACTCTGTGAAACTATTTAAAAAAATTCAAACTTTGGTTCCCTCATTGTTCTGTCATGTATTATGTCATTTTATTATCATTGTGTGTTTTATTATAAAGGACATTCACAGAGAGGTATTTCAAAGGATGTTAATTATATCACATATTGCATTTTAACCGCTTTAGGACCACCCGCACTGTACTGCGCACAAGCGGTTCCTACAGGCACCGCGACGCACCTGTATTTCGCTGCCCATTTCCGGGTTTAGGGCACACGTTCAACCCTCGACTCCCACTGTGATTGTACACTGCGTGATTTTGTCAGCAGGTCCCCACCAATGATTCATGGCCGGGACCTGCTGATAGGCTGTATCCAATCACAGCCCAGAGACCTGTGTTGACAAACCCCTTCCCAGCCAGTGTCATTAGTACAGTGACCGTGTATAGTGTTATCACTGATCACTATATTAGTGTCACTGGTGATGTCAATGTCAGTCACTTCCCACCCAGTTTCAGTTAGTGTCAGATTAACAGCAGCACTATCACAGCCCCAATATAAGTTGCTGATCATCGCCAATACTAGTATATATTAAAAAAAAAATCCAGTATACACACCATAGTTTGTAGATGCTATCACTTTTATGTAACCCAAATAATATACACTTACTGGGATTTTTTTAGACGTGTAGCAGAATACATTTTGGACAAATCTTATTTTAAAAAAATTCTTTTTTAATGGATATGTTTTATAACAAAGTAAAAATATTGTTTTTTTTTCCCCCCTCACAATTTTCAGTCTTTTTTCGTTTATATAATAAAACCTCTAGTGATAATCAAATACCACCAAAATAAAGCTCTAGTTGTGTGAAAAAATTATATAAATTTAATTTGGGTACAGCTTTGTATGACATGCAATTACCAGTTAAAGAAGTGCACTACTAAATATAAAAAATGGTTTGGCCATTAAGGAGTAAAATCTTCAGGCGCTTAAGTGGTTAATTTTATTGCAACTGCATATTTCAAATATGGGAATTGTACCTTAGTGTTAAAAGAGTGCTGTGTATTGTAAGAGCAATGTATTGTGCCATGTATCAAGCATATAACCACTCCACCCATATGTATATGTCTGCTTTATATTATATACAGTCATGGCCAAAAATATTAGGCCAAAATGTATTCTGCTACATGTTTTTGGTAAAAAAAAAAAATCCCAACAAGTATATATTGATTGCATTGTGTGAAAGTTATAGCGTCTACAAACTATGGTATAGATCGGGTGTCTGCAACCCGCGGCTCCAGAGCCGCATGCGGCTCTTTTTCACCTTGGCTGCGGCTCCGGAGCACACTGCCCACCAGGTGACAGGCAATAGGGCAGCAATGGGCAAACTACGGCCCGGCGGACCTTTTAATCCGGCCCACGGAGCTAGGCTCCCGCTAGGCTCCTCTCACAGTTCGCCCTGAAGACCGGTGTAGCATGAAAATCTGTCTCCTATGAGGATCTGTCCCCCTCGACGTATTTGCGCATGTGCCGGAGATCGCCGATCGGCTGCTAATGCCTGAAACTGGCACATGCGCAGATACGTCAAGGGGGACAGATCCTCATAGGAGACAGATTTTCATGCTACACCGGAACGGCGCGGGAACACGGCGAGAGGAACGCGCGGAGCAAAGGTAAGTGAATTGACACAGGGGAGACTTAATATGGGGGATGAATTACTATAGGGGGGATGAATTACTATATGGGGGATGAATTACTATAGGGGGGATGAATTACTATATGGGGGATGAATTACTATATGGGGGATGAATTACTATATGGGGGATGTATTTTCAGTTTTAAAAATGTGGCTCTCAAAATAAATTTCAATCGTGGTTTTGGCGAGATTTGGCTCAGTTGAAAAAAAAGGTTGCCCACCACTGGTATAGATAATGGAATTTACACAGCTTTTACTTTCTGAATGCCCATCACATTTCTTGAGGTGCTAAAAAACCAGGACAGTACAAACACCCCCAAATGACCCCTTTTCGGAAAGTAGACACCCTAAGCTATCTGCTGAGAGGCATATTGAGTCCATGGAAGAGTTATTTTTTTCCACAAGTTTTTGGAAAATGACAAAAATGTTTTTTTTTTTTTTTACACAAAGTTGTCACTTAAATGATATATTGCTCACACAAGCCATGGGTATATGTAGAATTACACCCTAAAATACATTCTGCTACTTCTACTGAGTATGGGGATACCACATGTGTGAGAGTTTTTGGGAGCCTAGCCACATACAGGAGCCTAAAATCCAATGGCCACTTTGAAAGCCTGAAGGTGCGTAACTTCCTCATTTCACTTACTCATTACCCATCACAGTTTCAGAGGCCCTGAAATGCCAGGATAGCACCAAACCCCCAAATGACCCCTTTTGGAGAGTATATACCCAAAGGGATTTAAAAAGAGGCATGGTGAGTATTTTGCAGATCTAATTTTTTCTCACAAGGTTTTGAAGTACAAAAAAAGAAAAGAAAAACTGTTTTTGTTTTCTCACTTCAATTTCCAAAAACTTGTGGCAACAAACAAGATCTGAAAAATACTCACCATGCTTCTTATCAAATTCCTTGGGTGTGTCTACTTTCCAAAATGGGTCATTTTGGGGGTTGGGGGGGGGGGGGGTTGGTGCTATCCGGGCATTTCAGGGCCTATAAAAATGTGATAGGTAGTCAGGAAGTGTAATGAGGAGATAAAGAACTTTTTGGTCTTTAGTTTGAGGTGTCCAGTTTCCAAAATTGGGTCTTTTTGGGGGTGGGGGCATTTTATGCCCAGCATTAGAGGTTTATGCCACACATCACTCACTCTTCTAACCACCTGAAGACCAAGTCTTTCTTACACTTTTTGCTCACATGAAAAAAATCTGTATTTTTTGCTAGGAAATTACTTTGAGCCCCCAAACATTATATATTTTATTAAAGCAGACACCCTAGTGAATAAAATGGTAGGTGCTGTAATTTTTATGTCACATAGTACTCGCACAGCAATTTTTCAATGCAAATTGTTTGAAAAAAATACACTTTTTTTTTTACTTTTAATGCACAAAACACAATATATTGGCCAATTATTAGGTAAAATATAAAAGATGATGGTATGCCGAGTCAATAGATACCAAACATGACATGCTTTAAAACTGCGCATGCCCCATGCAATGGCGACAAACTGCATACATTTTTACTATCCATAGGCAACGCATTTTTTTTTTTAACTGCGGATGAAAAATTTCATCCAACAGCACTGCACACACTTATGTATATTCTGAGAGCAAGACCCTGTTGCTGTCAGAATAAACAAGTCGGTGCTGCAGCTGAATGACATCCTTATTTCTCAAGCAGGCTTTTTTCCCCTTTCTAAGACGGGTATTTACAAGCCGTTTGGGGAAGCCCCAGTGATTAGGTTGTACAGTGCCACATGCGCCAATTCCAAGATTGTACAGATGTCTACATAGTGGCACGCTTGAATAAAAATTGTCCGCGTACAAGTGATACCCCATATGGAAAAAAGATGACACCAAGTCCCAAACTATCTGGCCACTGCTCCCCATGTAGACTGGGCATCCGGGGGCTCCATGTGACTCTCTTTTCCCTCATAAATCCGAAACTTATATGTATAGCCTGTTGTCAGACAGCCAGAAAAATTAATGAGGGACTCATCAACACAGATGTTTTGCTGGGGAGTATAGACATCTGCAAATTTTTGGTTAAGGTGATTTATGAGGGGCCGAATTTTATGGAGCCAGTCAAATTCAAAGTCACCCCAAGGACGACAGAGTGTGTTGTCATTGAAATGCATAAAACACAGTATACTCTCATATCTAAGCCTGGCCATGGCAGCAGAGAACATGAGCATATGATGAATCGGGTCTGTGGACCAATACAACCGCAACTCATTTTTTTTTTTTTAGTAATGCCTGATTCTGCGAACACTGAGGTTTTGTGTGAAATGTATCAAGTGACAGTGACCTACTGACACTGCACTTGCTGGGGGAGAAGGGGGGGTTAGCTAAGGGGCTAAACGCAGGTGCTGGCAGGTGTCGGGGCTGATTTTGCTAACGCTGCATTTTTGGGGACACTATACTAATGTGAACGTTGTGAAAGTGGCAGCAGGTACCTGAGGGAGGGGGGGACGAAGCCTTAAATCAGAGCTTCGCCTTTTTGGTGGAGCTCCGCTTTAAGATGTGTTTCAGAGTTTATACAACTTTTTCTCTCACTAACATGAAAATCTATGGGCCTAACCAATAGGTACTAAGATCCTGACCACAGCATCTTGGGAGGAAGAAGAGGTCACATGCTTCTCTAAACCTAAAAGTTTTCAGTATTTCCAAAGGCTCCAAGAGATGAACAGAGTAAATACAAATAGGCAAACTGACAGATTCTATTTAAGAATCATGTCAGCAATGGCAGCTCTTATATTACTATTCTCACAACATCACTTTAAGCATGAATAAATATGGGGAAAAATGTGAAAAATACAATATACTATATATTTGTTATTAAAAATAAAAGCAAACAACCGGATAGTGACCTGGTTATTTGTATGCCAGTATTAATAAGCCACGCAAATATCACTGGTAAACAATAAAGCAATAAAGTCACTGTTTCTGATATTGTGTAACATGGAGAAGTCTGTAATAGAAATACATACTGAATACACATTTAACATACCTGGCAGCATTATCATAATCTTCTTTTTCTACCAGATGTGTTATATAGGCTAAACCAATATCCTAAAAGAATAAAAAAAAACATAGATGAATGGAAACACAATCTTAAAATTACAAGTCAACCAAAACTGTAATATTATTTTTGAATGTTGTTTTAATTTAAGAGATGGAATTCCAGGTATTCCTATTATTTAACAAGACTAATGGTAAAGCACTGGTGTTTTCAGCTACCTTTACTGTACCTTCATGCTCTTCGTGCAGCAGAATTATAAAGTCACAATCTTTATACCATATTATCCTTCATGTAAATAAATATATAATCCAACATACTGGGGTTTCACCAAATGAGTCTTCAAAGTATACAAGAAGCTAGTATTCAGGCAATCAACATGTAAGAAAAATGAAGCTTTGGGCTATTTGAAAATCAGATGTATGAATCTGTATCGTCTATACAGTTTTATGCAGAACTGAGCAACCGATGGCATGCAAAGCAGATAAAGGTCTTAAATGCTTTAGTGTTCCATCTTCTTTTTTAAATACACCTTCCTGAGAAAACATGGAAGCTGCCTTTGCTGACCTAATATTCTGCAAATGCTAATTGCCTGGCGGTCATGCTGACACTTGTGATTCTACAGTATACTTTGAGACAAGGATATTTGCCTCTTTACTAATATGCATACCTGTTCTAGGTAGGTGGCTAGTTCAAAAACCGCACATAAATCAATAGCACATGTATCAATTTATTATTCAAATCAATATTTTAAGTAAAAAAGTACCCAATTCATACCATAAATAAAACATTCTACTCCTACGTTCTATCAGGTCTAAGCAAATATTAGCATTGTGGGGGTTTTACATCATCAAAGTATGCAGAAAGTCTTCTGCTTGGAATAAGACAGATCCTGTCTGGTAGACCAGCAATGAGGTAGGAAAGTCAGCAAGCCACAAGCACGGCACAACAGTAGTAAGCATGAAGAAGAGACTGAATCTGTAAAGAACAAATATTTAAGCCCCCATACACAATTACAAAAGGATAAGGAAATAATGGAAAGATGAATTACAAGAGCTGGACACAACAAGGTGAACACCAGTACTACAGGACTTCATTTTATTTGTGTAGGTTACACTTAAAGCAGAGCTAAATCCCTTCCAGTGATGCAAGAGTTACATCCCTCGTCGGATGCTGTCATCTCTTCCCTGGGTGCCAGGGTTTTGGCTATTTGATTGACCGGCAAGGGATGAGGTCATCCCACGCATGCACACTGGAGTCAGACATTCAGGTACAGCCAAACTATGCCAAGAATGCATTTTGAGCTGTGAATGTTCAGCTCAGTGTATAATCGGTAGACAACTGCAAGCAGCCAGGTATGTTTGTAATATTGCGGAAGAGACATAGCATGTATCTTCCACAATAAAAAGATGGCTGCCTGCATCCACGTTTATGTCCACTTTAAAAAAATGTGATTATCCTTTGCTTCATCCTGTCTTTGCCTCTGCTCATCTTCTAGACTCAGCTTATTCAGTTAAGTTTTGAAAATGAAAGATTAAAGTTGACTGCTTGCCATGCACATTTGCTCCAGTTTTAATAAATTACCCTCATTGTGTTCAGCAGTGGTTGGTACAAGTGGCCAGTTAAAGCCTGAGCACCTGTAACCATGAAAGCCAAATTGTTTGAGGTTTCAAGAGAAAGTCTTCATGGTTATGAAGGCATACACAAAGAGTGGCACGACTTTACTGGTGAAGTAGAATAATGGTCCAAAAACAAAATTGATTGACAGGGACCATTCAAGGATTTTGGACACATTGCTATATCAACAGAGAAATCACACAGTGAAACACACACACTGATCTCAGCTGCATAAAAGCTAAGGTGTGTGTGTGTGTGTGTGTGTCTGTGTGTCTGTGTCTGTGTGTGTGTGTGTGTGTGTGTGTGTGTGTCTGTGTGTGTGTCTGTGTGTGTGTCTGTGTGTGTGTCTGTGTGTGTGTCTGTGTGTGTGTCTGTGTGTGTGTCTGTGTGTGTGTCTGTGTGTGTGTCTGTGTGTGTGTCTGTGTGTGTGTCTGTGTGTGTGTCTGTGTGTGTGTCTGTGTGTGTGTCTGTGTGTGTGTGTCTGTCTGTGTGTGTGTGTGTGTGTGTCTGTGTGTGTGTGTGTCTGTGTGTGTGTGTGTCTGTGTGTGTGTGTGTCTGTGTGTGTGTGTGTCTGTGTGTGTGTGTCTGTGTGTGTGTGTCTGTGTGTGTGTGTCTGTGTGTGTGTGTCTGTGTGTGTGTGTCTGTGTGTGTGTGTCTGTGTGTGTGTCTGTGTGTGTGTGTCTGTGTGTGTGTGTCTGTGTGTGTGTGTCTGTGTGTGTGTGTCTGTGTGTGTGTGTCTGTGTGTGTGTGTCTGTGTGTGTGTGTCTGTGTGTGTGTGTCTGTGTGTGTGTGTCTGTGTGTGTGTGTCTGTGTGTGTGTGTCTGTGTGTGTGTGTGTCTGTGTGTGTGTCTGTGTGTGTGTCTGTGTTCATCAGGAGGCAGAGGAATAGAAGACACAAGTCTTGGCCATTGGAGGGCAGCCTGTCCTACCAGCCAGAAAACTGACCACACTGATATGGATGTGCTCTCATACCTAGTGAGGTCAGTTTGAAATAGGAAACCATGGGAACTGGCAGGATCACCTGGTATTTCAAAGAAAGAAAGAAATACAAAGAGCAGAGGATACTTTTTTTAATGCAAGTACATGGTACAACAAACACATAACAGAAATACACTATAATGCCAACTGTATTGGGACAAGCCTCCAAATCATTGGATTTAGGTGTTCCAATCACCTCCATGGCCACAGGTGTATAAAATCAAGCTCCTAGGCATGCAGACTCTTCTTCTACAAACATTTGTGAAAGAATTGGTCGCTCTCAGGAGCTCAGTGAATTCAAGCATGGCACTGTGATAGGTTGCCACCTGTGCAATTAGTCCATCCGTGAAATTTTCTTGCTACTAAATATTCTACAGTCAACTGTTAGTGGTATTATAACAAAGTGGAAACAACTGGGAACAGCAGCAACTCAGACCGCTTAAAATGGCAGAGCGGGATCAGTACATGCTGAAGCGCAGTGAGCAGAAATCGCCAACTGTCTGTAGAGTCAATAGCTAAAGACTCCAAACTTTGTGTGGCCTTCAGATTAGCACAACAGTGCAAAGAGAGCTTCAAGGAATGGGTTTCCATGGCCGAGCAGGTGCATCCAAGCCTTACATCACCAAGTGCAATGCAAAGCGACGGATGCAGTGGTGTAAAGCACGCCACCACTGGACTCTAGAGCAGTATAGACGTGTTCTCTGGAGTGACTAATCACGCTTCTCTGTCTGGCAATCTGATGGACGTGTCTGGGTTTGGCGGTTGCCAGGAGAACAGAACTTGCCTGACTGCATTATGCCAAGTGTAACGTTTGGTGGATGGGGTATTTTGTTGTGGGGATGTTTTTCAGGGGTTGGCCTTGGCCCCTTAGTTCCAGTGAAGGAAGCTCTTAAGACATCAGCATACAAAGACATTTTGGAAAATTTCATGCTCCCAACTTTGTGAGAACAGTTTAAGGATGGCCCCTTCCTGTTCCTACATGACTGCACACCAGTGCACAAAGCAAGGTCTATAAAAGACATGGGTGAGCGAGTTTGGGGTGGAGGAACTTGACTGGCCTGCACAGAGTTCTGACCTCAACTCGATAGAACACTTTTGGGATGAATTAGAGAGGAGACTGAGAGCCAGGCATTCTTGTCCGACATCAGTGTCTGACCTCATAAATGCTCTTCTGGAAGAATGGTCAAACCTTCCCATAGACACACTCCTAAACCTTGTGGACAAGCCTTCCCAGAAGAGTTGAAGCTGTTATAGCTGCAAAGGGTGGGCCAACTCAATATTGAACACTACGGGCTGGGATGCCATTAAAGTTTATGTGTGTTTAAAGGCAGGCGTCCCAATACTTTTGGCAATATAGTGTATGAAATCTTGTAACAAACACTTTAAATTTTGGTTTTCGGCCACTACTCTTTGTGAATGTAGGCACAACGATAGGGACCCTAGTACGCAGCCCAGAGAAAAAAAAAAAAAAAGATATTCACAACTTTTTCTATATTAAAATAAAATTAAGTCCTACAATACTGATGTTCACATTATCATATCCACCCCCTGTACATTATGCTGATCAATTTTGCATAAAAACTTTAAAAAAAGACTATAGCTTCCCTTCAAATTCTGCTGTAGATTCCACTATATGATTGCCTAGGACTGCAGCATTATGGTATTGCTGATGACAATTATAAATGCAGCCCACACTAGTGATAATTAAACAGCAGTGGACAAGGTCTTTCAAAATATCCAATTAATAAACCAAACTTACCAAAACCTCATGTCGCTTAATATTTTTCTGACTGATTTCTGCAGCCATAAGTGCTTCCTGAAAAGCAGAAATGGTATACAGGTAAATAGCAGAACACAACATTAATATAAAATAAAAATGTGAGGCATGCTACACTACATTCATGTCCTAGCAGATTCATGTCAACTTTCAGTACCAATAAGTGCACGTGCAGTCAGATTTTGGACTTAAATTATGTAAGACACTCAAAATCTCCAGATCATGCACCTCTAGTAATGTTGTGTACCTTATCCAGTGCAGAAAATGTAGCAAAGGATCTTATGTTGGCGAAACAGGACAGAAGTTGCAAACAAGGATCAATTGCCACAGACATACCATCAAGGAACATAAAGAAGATGACTTTTGCACACCTGTGGGACACCATTTCGCACAACCAGACCACACTATGGAAGACCTCAATATTTTAGTTCTTAAAGGGAATTTCAAAACTATTCAGGAAAGGAAAACTTTTGAACTAAGAATGATAATTCTATTTGATACAAAAGATAACAGCCTTAATTTGGACATGGGATTCCTCACTCATTATCAAACAGTTTTATGACCCCCTCTGTGAGTGTTGTGTTGTCCCCCCCCCCCCCCCCCCCCAGTCTTTGCTTTTGCTGTGTCTTATCTCTACTTTAATCCTAGTCTTATAACCATTCCTGTGTACATTTGTTTGTGTGTGTTTCTGTTTTTTTTTTTCTCCCCCTTCCACGGCCTTAATTTGGACATGGGATTCCTCACTTATTATCTAACATATTTATGACTCCCTCTGTGAGTGCTGTTCCCCCCCAGTCTTTGCTTTTGCTTTGCTGTTCTTATCTCTAGGCTAACCTTATGCTTGTGTTTCTTTCTGCCTTTTTTCTCAATCCCCACATATTTTCTAACATTCTGCTAAAACTTTGTAACAGTACTGCCTGGACCTTGAAGAAGGGGACATACCCCGAAAGCTTGTCCTCAAATTGTATGTTAGTGCAAATAAAAAAAGTATCACGTCAGTACTCAATTGTTTCTGTACATATTCTCAATAAGCAGTAAAATAAAAGAGCTTTAAAACAAGCCATCTCGTTTGTCTTTAGATACTTTTATTTTAAAGTAATTAATTCTCAAACACGCTCAAACATCACAACTCTGGAGTCTAGTTTCAGTCAGTTTCTAACAGCTTAAAAATACCTGCTGTGTGTTTACATTAGATGGCTGGTAGGTTGACAAGATCTACTCTGAGTGAATAATAAAAACTGATTCAATAGCTGTGTTCTGAACTTTAAAATGTATTTTCTTCACAACTCCTATAGATACACTGATGAATTAGGTTTTTTTTTTTCCGGGTTAGGGTTTTTCTACCTGTCAACCACTCACAGTAAATATACAACGAGCGAGCGGCAGGTGCAGGTACAATCACGTTTCTGTACACCGGCGTGTTCTTCCAGGTTCAGCAGTGCACATACACGCGCCCCCTGCCGAAACATGTTCCAATTGGACACAGCATGTGTTTAGCAGCTGATTTCAGCCAATGATTTTGGCTGAAGTCAGCTGATTGTGTTCAATCACAAAAACACATAACTGTGTACAGGATACAGTGATGTGATGATTTATTTTCCCTGCAAAGCAGGGAGAAAAAACAGCCGACAGTAACGCTGTCGTGTGACGCGTTTCGGGGACAAATCCCTTTCCTCAGAGCTGATGACCAACCTCTGATGCTGATGTATGATGAATGGAGAGTAAGAGCCTTGCTGTTGATGCCATCCCCAAAACGCGTCAGCATTTGACCGCACTGACAGTGAGAACACCTTGCCTGCCATTGTGGCCATTGTCATTTTTCTATGCTTTTTAGATACATGCTTCGTCTGTGAGTATGTTTTTATTATTTTTTACTCTTTACAATAAACCTTGGATAATGCACTAGGTGTGTGCGCCACCTGTTTTCTCTCTATCCAGTGGCTGATTTTCTCGTCTGAGGAGGGCTGCACCCCTGGAGCATTTCCTTTGGTTGTCGCTGTCCTGGTACCCTTGGCTTCCCTTTTGGCTGTGCATATCCTGAGGCGCTGGAGAGTACATACGATATTGACTTCTATGGGAACCATTTCTAAACCACGTGTGTGAACAGGATAATCTTGAGAGCTAATCCTGTCCTGAACCAGATGTAAACCTGACATGAATCGGTGAACTACTGTATCAATTAGCTGTAAAACCTGAGCTTCAATCTGCATTGCACGTGTGAATCAGCCCTTACTGCTTGTTCAGAATATGTAGTGTGCATGATCTTGGTAGAGGATCACTTTAAATACAGTGCTGTAAAAAGTATTTACCCCCTTGCTAATATTTTTTTTTTTTTATATTTGTCACACTTAAATGATTTAGATCATCAAACAAATTTTAACATTACACAAAGATAACCCGCGTAAATACAAAATGCAGTTTTAAAATGATGATTTAATTTATTAAGGGGAAAAAGCCGTTCAAACCTGCCCGGCCCTACTGTATGTGAAAATGTATTTCCTCTTAACACCCTGCTGCATAACCCAAGTGCGCTGCAACTTGAGGTCATGAACTGATGGCTGAACATTCTCCTCCAGGATTTTCTGGTAGAGTGCAGCATTCATGGTCCCATCAAATATGGCAACTCGTACAGGTCCTGAAGCTGCAAAGCAGTCCCAGACCCTCACACTACCATTACCATGTTTGACTGTTGAAATGATGTTCTTTTTAGGAAATGCTATGTTAGTTTTATGCCAGATGTAACGGCGTAAAACTAACAAATGTTCAACTTTTGTATCATCAGACCGCAGAATATTTGCCCAAAAGTCTTCGGGATAATCAAGATGTTTTTTGGTAAATGTGAGATGAACCTTTGTGTTCTTTTTGGTCAGCAGTGACTTTTGCCTTGGAACTCTCCCATGGATGCCATTTTTGCCCAGTCTATTTCTTATTGTTGAATCATGAACAATGAACTTAACAGAGACAAGTGAGTCCTGCAGTTCTTTAAATGTTGTTCTGGGTTCTTTTATGACCTCCTGGGTGAGTCATCGTTGTGCTCCTAGAGTAATTGTCGTAGGCCAAACACTATTGGGAAGGTTCACCACTGTTCCAAGTTTTCTCCATTTGAAGATAATGGCTCTCACAGTGATATTTTGGAGTCCCAAAGCCTTCAAAATGGCTTTGCAACCCTTTCCAGACTGATACATGTCAATTACATTGTTTCTAATCTGTCCTTGAATTTCTTTAGATTGCAGCATGATGTGTTGCTTTTTGAGATCTTTTAGTGTGCTTCACTCTGTCAGACAGCCTCTTTTGAAGGGATTCCTTGATTCAACACGTCTGGCAGTAATCAGGCCTTGGTGTGGCAAGCGAAATTCAACTTTGAAACCCCCCCCATGCTAAATCACGAATGAACTGTGATTAACCACATTTTTTGGAAAGCAGAATTAAATTTCACTTGTCACACCCAGGCTTGATTACTGCCAGACTTGCTATACTTCCAAGATATGAAAAGAAAGTAAACTAACTCATATTTTTTTCTCCCCAGCAACTAGTCAATATGGTCATTTTGGTCTCTTTCTTCTGCCACAACATCATCTCTTGGGCTGATTATGTAAAACAGGGATTCACTCTTTGGAAGGTTCACCACTGTTCCAAGTTTTCTCCATTTGTGGATAATGGCTCTCACAGTTGTATTCTGGAGTCCCAAATCCTTTCGAAATGGATTTGCAACCCTTTCCAAACTGATACATATCAATTATGTTGTTTCTAATCTGTTTTAAAATTTATTTAGATAGCAGCATGATTTGTTGCTTTTTGAGATTTTTTAATGTGCTTCACTTTGTCAGACAGATTCTTTTGAAGTGATTCCTTGATTCAACAGGCCTGGGTGTGGCAAATGAAATTCAACTTTCCTCCCCCCCACCCTTGCTAAATCACGAGAGAACTGTGATTAACCATGTTTTTTGGAAGGCGGAGTTAAATTTCACTTGTCACACCCAGGCTTGATTACTGCCAGACTTGCTATACTTCCCAGATATGAAAAGAAAGTAAAATACCTCATATTTTTTTCCTCCCCAGCAACCAGTCAATATGGTCATCTTGGTCTCTTTCTTTTGCCACAACAACATCTCTTGGGCTGATTATATAAAACAGGGATTCACCTTCAGCATATTCTGAAAAAAATTATACCAAAAAAAAAACAGGTTTTAGAAGTTTGGGAGACTAAATGTCAACAGAAGGTTTCAAAGGCTGAAGCACAATGTACAAACTATGTAGAACTTAGCTTTTAACTTTTTACCTAAACGATAATCTCTGCACTCATTTTCTTGAAATCCCCTGACCGTTATGGCATCTGAGGACACTTCTTCACAACAATCTGCTTGTGGCTGAATTATATCAAGGCGTGGTCTGGCACAAAACTGCTTATTCTGGAAAAAAAAAAAGAATTATAAGATCAATTAAATTGATATCAATTACTTGTTTTCCCCTAAAATAAAAAGAGGTTATATTAACCTGCTCTGTGCAATGATATTGCACAGAGTGGTCTGTTACATCCTCTCCTGAAGTTCCCCGTCGGTGCTGTCTGCTCCTTCTTCTTCTGAATGCCCCCTCAACAAGCCGCTTATGGCCACGGTCTTCAGTGTCTCCTGTGAGACCATGAAGGGAGGAAAGTGGTGCTTCAGGCGGCATGACACCATAGTGGTGAGAGGTAAGTGTTTAGGGTTGTAGGGAGGGAAATATTTAGTGGGAAGTTGTTTTAGCTTAACACAGAGAATGCATTAAGGTGAAAAATATTTAGAGTTTAGAAACACTTTAAGTTTATGTTCACGTCAAGCTTACCAAATACAGTATATACAGAACTGAAAAAATATTTGTGCATGATATTGCTAAAACAGGAAAGATTACAAAGTATATCATATTTAAATGTCTGTCTGTGACACCTACACTACACTTCTGACTGAAGTCCTTATCTCGCTGGCATCTTATCCCCGGGTGCAGGTCTTCAGGCATCTTAATGGGCCGGTGTGGTATGACATTGACATAAGTCCTTCGCAAGCACAAGAATCTGATGTAAGCTGAGCTACACAAATGCAGCTCAGTTTATATTGTGCAGAAGGCTGCGAGTAGGTGGATAAGTGTACTTTATTGCAAAAGAGACATTACATGTCTCTTCTGTGATAAATAGCCTGCCTGCTTGCAATTTTTTGTAAAATGCCTTCAGTTCCACTTTAAAAAAAAAGTCACCTAAAACAAAGTTTTAAAGATGAAGATTCATCAAGGTATGTAACCATTATATATTTATTGCTATCTATAAAGATAACATTGTGAAGTTTCTGCAATGAAGTTCCATTACTCCTCATGCTGCCTACTTCTGGTGATTTGCAGAGAAACAGAATCCCAGAGGCAGAGGTAGCAAAGAAGCTATATGCAAAGGGTTGCCCACATAATCTTTCTGTAGATAAGCAGACCTTCAAACGTTCAAACCTATCTTTTCATTCTGACTGTAAGTGTACGATTATAGTTACCTCTTTATCTGAAGTCTCCTTTACAAAGAAGAGCATCACAAACTGATCACAGAGAGGCGCTATTCCACTGATGAAATATTCTGTATCAAACTGTGACACTAAAGAGAAAAAACAAACAAACAATTATTGTGTATATCTAGACAGCATCTAAATTACTCCAGGCAAATGTAAAGAACGAATTCTAGCTTTTACATCTACTATTACTGTTTAATAAGTGTTACATATAATATGTATAAAGTGGTTGTAAACCTCTGACATGAAATGTGAACAAAGCATATCCCTAGTGTGTACTTGTCTCAATTGGGAGCATTAAATGTTATTTCTGTCTACTGCCTCATTCCTCAGCTATCAGCATGAGACACTTCTGACAATTATTCCTGACACAAAGAGCAAAAAAAAAAAAAAAAAAAGGGACAGAGAAGGGAACTCCAGCGCACAGCATGTGATTGACAGCCTCATCTCTGTTCCTCTGTGCTGTGTGAAGGGTGTGTCTCCTCCCTCCAATCAGCTCTCACTGAGATCTGCAGAGTGTAACTTGGGCTCTTAGACCCGTGCCTCCTGAAAGCTCAGACAAGCTGTATAAATTCTGCACTTTGAACGGATGTTGAAAAGAGATGGCCGCAAATGAACAATTGCAAATTATGTAGGAGGATTAGTTTTATCCCTATGTATCACTTCACTGAGTATATGTAAGGGTTTACAACCACTTTAACTCTGTTACAAGAAATTGAAATAATTCAGTGCACATAAGGTCAAATTTCAAATCATGGGGTAGTTTACATGAGAACTCACAGTGGCAAATTTTGCTGCTATACTCACCTTTAATCCAGACGCTGTCCTCTGCTGTACTTCTCTTCTATCACTATATGTCTTCAGTCTTCTAACAGCCAGTATCGTTCAACCCACTTCCTCTGAGCCCACGCTGCCATGGACCCACCCCCATCTTTCTGTCCATCTTTGTCAATCTGTTTTCTTCTCCTAGTAACAAACTAGTTGACAAAACATGGACTAAATGGCTTCTTGTGCGGCTACATCCTCTAGCACTGTGAGTTCTGATGTAAAGGGACTGCAAAAAGCTGATACCAAGTCAAATTCAGGTATTTTCACAGCTTGTGTAAAAAAAAAAAAAAAAACACATTTACTGATGTACTGTATAAATTATAGAGCTGCATTAATCTGCGTCTTTAATATATGCCCAGACTTCAGCTGCAATGGATGAGAAGGCAAAGTGCTTGAATGACTGATTAAGCTGGGTATACACTCAGTAGATTTTCATTCAATATAATTCATTTAACCACTTAACATCCGCCCACCCACAATGTACTGCTGACGGGTGGCTGCTGTAGGCAAAGTGACATACTGGGATGTAGCTGCCCACTTCCGGGTTTTGGGAGTGCACATGCATGCTCCCGAGCCGGTGCTCTCCTGCGATTATAAAAGCAGGAGCCTGTCAGTAAGTTCTGGCCAATGATTCATGGCGGGGACCTGCTCATCAGCTGTGTACACTCACAGCCCAGAGCCCTGTGTTGACAATCAAAGAACAATCTCTCTGTTGCTCATCTCTGCAAAGCAGGGATGAGAAACTTAGAGATCTGTTTAGTAAAAGCAGCACACTTTACACACATTACACATAGTTAGACATACACTTAACCCTTTGATCGCACTAGATGTTAACCCCCTTCCCAGCCAGTGTCATTAATACAGTGACAATGTTTAATATTATCGCTGATCACTGTATTAATGTCACAGGTGATATAAGTGGCAGTTAGTCGATTCCCTCCCAAAGTCAGTTAGTGTCAGATTGCCTGCCACACTATCGCAATCCCATTATAAGTCACTGATCACCGCCATTAGTAGTAAAAATCTAGCATATATACACCCTAGTTTGTAGGCATTACAACTTCCATGCAAATCAGTCAATATACAGTGCCTTGAAAAAGTATTCCTACCACTTGAAATTTTCCACATTTTGTCATTTTACAATAATAAAAAACGTAAATGTATTTTATTGAGATTTTTGGGATAGACCAACACAAAGTGGCACATACAAATAAATGGTGCAGCGCAAAAATATATGAAATTGGTATAAATGTGCTACCAAACAATGTAATAGATGACCAGTATAGAATGTCGAATATACGAATGACAAGGATGCAAATATAATCCACAGTGATGTGTACCCCCACCCCAAAAAAAAACTTGATCAAATAATAGTTCCAAAAAGTGATGTGATCAAATGGTGACCAAAAATAACAGACTTCTGTGTTACTCCCAACATTATGCACTCTCCAGAAGCAAAAAGCAAACCAGCATTGGACGAAAATGACTCCTTGAAGCATATCTGCCCACTTCCTATCACCAGTCACCGATCCATCCAGGGGTGGAATCCCTCCTAAAGGGAGAACTCACAAACTGAACCCAAAACTGGAGCAGACAGAATCTGGAGCAGCTGTGTATGGCAACCAAAAAATCAACTTCTAGCTTCAGCTTGTTCAGATAATTTGCTCGTGCCCACACTCTGAGCAGCATGGGAACCTCACATGGGAGCAGCCATGTTAATTACCTCACCCACCGGAACGCCGACGTACCGAACCTCCCGTACAACAGAGAGGTTAGGTACTTCGGCGCCCTGGTGGGTGAGGGCTTCAAGAAGTCATTTTCATCCAATGCTGGTTTGCTTTTTGCTTCTGGTGAGTGCATAATGGTGGAGGAGTAACACAGAAGTAACAGAAGTCACAGTTATTTTTTGGTACCCATTTGATCACATCACTTTTTGGGACTATTATTTGAACAAGTTTTTTTTTTTTTTTGGGACTCATCACAGTGGATTATATTTACGTCCCTGTCATTCATACAGTTGTGTCCAAAATTATTCAACCCCAATGCTGTAAAGGGGTTTAGGGACTATAGTGTACATTTGGAATTGTATTCAGAATCAAATCCTACAAGGACGTTGTAACTACCCAAATGCAACTAAAATGACATCAATTGTTTATGTAATACAGTAGTAAATGGTTCTTATGTGGTTTCTTCATTGCCACAATTATTCAACCCCTTAAAGACTACCACTCTGAAGAACAGAGGTTCATACAGGTGCTTTCCATCAGGTATTGAAAACACCTGTGGATGTCACCGAGCAGCAATCAAGCATAATAAGCACCAATTAGGCAGCTTTAAAATGACTGTGATACTCAGCTCCTTCTAGACATTTACTGGTGTGGTTACAAACATGGTGAAGGCAAGAGAATGGTCCAGGAAGACAAGAGAAGAGGTGATTTCTCTTCACAGGAAGGGCAATGGCTATAAGAAGATTGCAAAGATGTTAAACATACCAAGAGACACCTTAGGAAGCATCATTCGCAAATTCAAGGCAAAGGGCACTGTTGAAACGCTACCTGGTCGTGGCAGAAAGAAGATGCTGACTTCGACTGCTGTGCGCTACCTGAAGCGTAGAGTGGAGAGAAGTCCCCCGTGTGACTGCTGAGGAACTGAGAAAAGATTTGTCAGATGTGGGTACAGAAGTTTCAGCCCAGACAATAAGACGCACACTGCGTAATGAAGGCCTCCGTGCCAGAACTCCCAGGCGTACCCCCTTGCTGTCTCAAAGAATAAGAAGAGTCGACTGCAGTATGCCAAAAGCCATGTGGACAAACCACAAAAGTTGTGGGATAGTGTTCTGTGGACTGATGAAACAAAATTAGAACTGTTTGGGCCCATGGATCAACGCTATGTTTGGAGGAGGAAGAACAAGGCCTATGATGAAAAGAACACCTTGCCTACTGTGAAGCATGGTGGAGGGTCAATCATGCTTTGGGGCTGTTTTGCTTCTGCAGGTACAGGGAAGCTTCAGCGTGTGCAAGGTACCATGAATTCTCTTCAGTACCAGGAGATATTGGATGGAAACGTGATGCAGTCCGTCACACACCTGAGGCTTGGGAGACGTTGGACCTTTCAACAGGACAATGATCCCAAGCATACCTCCAAGTCCACTAGAGCATGGTTGCAGAGGAAAGGCTGGAACATTTTGGAGTGGCCATCGCAGTCACCAGACTTAAATCCGATTGAGAACCTCTGGTGGGACTTAAAGAAAGCAGTTGCAGTGCGCAAGCCTAAGAATGTGACTGAACTGGAGGCCTTTGCCCATGAAGAATGGGCGAAGATACCCTAGATCGCTGCAAGACACTTGTGTCAAGCTATGCTTCACGTTTAAAAGCTGTTATAACTGTAAAAGGATGCTGTACTAAGTACTAAGATTGAATGTCACTTGGGGGTTGAATAAAACTGATAATGCTGTGAGCACAGAAAAGACATTTGTGGTTATTTCATTATAACTGTTATGTTATATTTGTTGTCTGACCTACAAGTGCCTCTTTAATGTAAATGTAAGCAAGATGACTGAATGATCAAAAGCAATGTCAAACTGGCCAAAACACTCAATTTCAGTGGGGGTTGAATAATTTTGGACACAACTGTATATTGGACATTCTATACTGGTCATCTATGACATTGGTAGCACATTTATACCAATTTCATATATTTTAACACTGCACCATTTATTTATATGTTTATATAGTGGGAGCAGAGGGTTTTCCACATTGTACCAGCTGCTTCCTTTATTATTTTCCTTTTGCGCTCACTGTTCACATTTTTATTGTTACAAAGTGGCACATAATTGTGAAGTGGAAGGAAAATAATAAACGGCTTTCAAAATATTTTTACAAATAAATATCTGAAAAGTGTGGTATGCATTTGTATTCAGCCACTTTACTCTGCTACCCCTAACTAAAATCTAGTGGAACCCATTGCCTTCAGGGGTCACCTAATTAGTAAATAGAGTCCACCTCTGTGTAATTTTATCTCTGTATAAATACAGCTGTTCTGTGAAGCCTTCAGAGGTTTGTTAGAGAACATTAATGAACAAACAACATCATGAAGGCCAAGGAACACACCAGACAGGTCAGGGATACAGTTGTGGAGAAGTTTAAATCAGGGCTAGGTTATAAATAAATATTCTAAGGCTTTCAACATCTCATGGAGCACTGTTCAATCCATCATCCAAAAATAGAAAGTATGGCACAACTGCAAACCTACCAAGACATGGCTGTCCACCTAAAGTGACTGGCTGGGCAAGGAGACCTCCCACTGACACCAATGATGGGACACTATTCCTCCCACTGACACCAATGCTTACTCCTACTGACACCAATGCTGGGGCACTATTCCTCCCACTGACTCCAACAATGAGAGACTAATTCTCTCGCTGACAACGATGGGTCACTATTCTTTCCCCCTAATACCAAAGATGGGGCCAGGGGCGGACTGACAACTCATGGGGGCCCCCCGGCAATAGGGGATCATGGGGCCCCTGTGTCCTTGCCCAAACTCAAAAAAGCCTATGAAAAAGGTACCGGGGCATCTCATGGGGCCCCCTACTGACCCTGGGCCCTCGGGCAGTGCAGAGTTTCCAAATGGTCAGTCCGCCCCTGGATGGGGCACTAACATCCCACTGACATTAACAATGAGACACCTAAAACAAAAAAGGGGACAGTATTTTCTCCTACTGATACCAGGACATTTCTACTCCTACTGGCTACATTCCGGCCCCCCTAAAGTTTGAAGGACAGTAAACTGGCCCTTTGCTAGAAAGTTTGGAGACCATTGCTTTACAGGCTCCTGATTTTGAAAATAATAAATGCACGTTTTTATCTGTAAAAAGATGTGCATTTATTATTTTTTATTTCAAAAGGTAATACATTTAAAAATATATTCATCCTCTTAAGGTAAAATCAATATTATAAAATTGCACTTGGGCACTGAAAAATAAAAGGTTTACTGTACAGGAAAAATAATAAAAAAAGAAATTCACTGGTGAAGCAGTGGAAATATTAAATGCTTGGGAAAATGTGTTTTTGTATTTATTCTTTTACAGAATCCCTTTTCTAGGGTATAAAAATTAGGTTAATTTACAAGCTGGCAACCCATGGTTCTGGTTATTGTAGAAATACAAATCACAGCAAGCATGAAGCAGTTCCCCAATAACCGAGAAGCCACAGGCGTTCGACCTCTGAGCAAATGTAAAAATTAGCTGGAACTGTTCACAAACATTAACTCAATCAAATCCTGCTGTCTTCAGTCAAACATAAGGCATAGTGGTGATTACACGCAGTATTACAGCATGAAAATAGCCATGTAGGAAATTTGACACCATTTCTTTTCATCATATTAGAAGGGCAGACATCAGAGCTGAGTCTTCTAGAATATTATTTATCCAGAGGCAATATTACCGGAGAAAGCTTTCTGACATACTATTTCACATACAGAAAATGTGTCTCATTTCCCATATATTGCTTACAGACTATGAACAAGAAATGATCGACAAAAGAATTTCAGAATCAAACCTTGACATTGTTCCAGTACAACACACATGACTTTTTTCAAATGTTAAAAAACAAAAGCTAAACCTATATGAACAATAAAAATTAATTTTGTTAATATAATTCTATTACTTTGTATTTATTTGTCATTTTATCTAATATTTAGGATTATAATCTATATACAGATATGAATGTTATGTACTATAACGAGTATTTAATAACAGTAATACAAAAAATAAAGATAACTGATACTTCTGAGGAGATAATGAGTTTATTTAATTAACAGCACAAACTTTTTTCAGGGAAATAAAAAACATTTTAATGCATTTTAGTGCACACAAACCTAAAAGAATACTCAAATTTTTCAGGCAAATATAAAAGATGATGTTGCACTGAGTGAATATATATTACACATGTCAAGAATGTTCACTTTCTAGATGTGCAAAGCTGGTAGATATACCAAAAAAGACTTGTAGCTGTAATTGCAGCGAAATATGGTTCTACAAAGTATTGACTCGGGGGGGGGGGGGGGGGGGGCTGAATACAAATACACGCCACACTTTTCAGATATTTGTAAAAAAAATTTTGAAAACCATTTATCATTTTTCTTCCAGTTCACGATTATGTGCCACTTTGTGTTGGTCTATCACATTAAAATCCCAATAATGTGTAACATGTCAAAATGTGGAAAATTTCAAGGAGTAAGAATACTTTTCAAGGCACTGTATGTAACAAGAACAGGTTTTATTAGAAAATAATTACAGACTATATTTATTAGAAACTATACAAATAAGCCAACACATATAAAGAAATCTTTACACTTTAACATGCAGATCAACAAGGAGGACAAACTCACCTTTGAAGGAACTTAGATAGCACTTAGAAGCTTTTCTAACTGGTGACAAATGCAATCAAAGGGCACCAGAAAGCATGTTGCATTTGCCCATTCACAAAAATCCTAGTGCCACTATTTCTTCCCTGCTCTAAAGCTGAAAATTACTGATTTCTATGCAGATTGTATTATCCTGGCTGTGGAAATTAAGACTCACCAATCTCAACATAACGATTTGGTAGGTCTCTTAATTCACTGGGATGTCGCTCTTTCACTGCACAAATCTGAAAAACAAAAAAATATATTACACATTTTATTCCATAAATACACAAAATGAAATAGCTGGAATACAGTATATGGCATTTGAAAAAGCTACTATTATTTTCAGATTTCTTTTGTTAAATCGCCTGGCTTAAAAGTCCACAAAACTGACATGTCAGTTAAAGGTAAACACTAGCAAGCTCAATCTCCAAGTTTTTTAATTCTCTGGGAGGCTGAGGTAATGAAATTGTTGCATTTGAGTTTGCAGGTTCATCCACCTACCATTCAACAATACAAAGAAAGAAGTAAGATATTGAAGTTAGTTTTCCATGACTATAAATCAAAAAGAGAGGGTAACAGCCCCAGAGGTATAATTTACTATTAGCTGATTTACTTAACCTGTAACCAAATTATTGGGCAGACAGACCCATTAAAAAGTAGCATAAAGTGTAAACACAAATGTCAAGTTGTTGTAATAACATTTACAAATTAAACCACCTGAATACCGGGCACTTTTACCCCCTTCCTGCCCAGACCAATTTTCAGCGCTCTCATACTTTGAATGCTAATTACTCAGTCATGCAACACTGTACCCAAATTAAATTTTTGTCCTTTTTTGTCACACAAATAGAACTTTCTTTTGGTGGTATTTAAGTAGCATTGGTTTTTTTTTAATTCTTTGCACTGTAAATTAAAATGGACCAAAACATTTGAGAAAAAAAACAAAAATGCATTGTTCTTCGTTTCTGTTGTAAAATTTTGCAAATAAGTAATTTTTCTTTATACATTTGGGCCAAAATGTATACGGATACATTGCTTTGGTAAAAATAATCCCAATGGGTGTGTATTATTTGGTCTGTGTGGATGTTATAGAGTCTACAAGCTATGGTACCAATCATTGAACACACCTGATCAAACCTCATGTACAGATGGCCTCATCTCATCTCATTTCTTGAGACAGTAACAAGCCAGGACAGTACAAATACCCCCCAAATTACCCCTTTTTGGAAAGTAGACATTACAAGGTATTTAGTAAGATGCATGGTGAGTTTTTTTTGAATATGTATTTTTTCCCCACAATTCTTTGGAAAATGAAGTAAATAAAATGTGTTTTTTTCACACAACTGTTATTTTAACAGGTTATTCCTCTCAAAGAGCATATGAATACTTGTAGCTTCACTCCAAAACACAATATGCTGCTCTTCCTGAGTATGGGGATACCACATGTGTAAGCATTTTCCACAGTCTGGCCACATACAGAGACCCACCATCCAAGTAGGACCTACAGGCATTCTGGAGGCATAAATTACACATCTCATTTCCTGACTACCACATTTTTGAAGGCTCTGGAGCACCAGGACAATGGAATTACCCACAAAATGACCCCATTTTGGAAAGCAAACACCCCAATGTATATTTTACAAGGCATAATGGACAATGGAATTACCCTTGGATGCCTACCTATCTTCTGGGAGTGCTGCGCTGCTTGTACTCACCACTGTGTAATGGTGGATGCCTGCTCCTCCTCAGATCTCCTGAATCTCTTTGGACTTTATCCTCCTCAGAATCCATTGCTGACCCACTGTTTTTCAATTGGCTCATACTAAGAATCTGAGTCTGACAAAGAGAGTTCCCAGCTACTCTCGTCCGTCATACTCCGTATCTGGAAAGCCTCCTCCCTGGGGTATAATTTATCTAGACATTTTTATGTTCACTGGCATAGATGTTTATCACTGGTACAGCTATTGATATGAAACTGGTACACTGTGACAAATATTGAGCACTGGTAAACTGTGACAGATGTGGATTTGACCCTGGTAGGCCGTGACAGATGTTGATCACTGGTACAGAAGTGGATGAGCATTGGTACACTGACAGATGTGGATACCTGGTGCAGGTGTAAATTTTAGACTGGTACACCGTGACAGATGTGGATCACTGATACTGTGTGACAGACGTGGATCACGGGTACGGCGACGGACGTGGATCACGGGTACGGCGACGGACGTGGATCACGGGTACGGCGACGGACGTGGATCACGGGTACGGCGACGGACGTGGATCACGGGTACGGCGACGGACGTGGATCACGGGTACGGCGACGGACGTGGATCACGGGTACGGCGACGGACGTGGATCACGGGTACGGCGACGGACGTGGATCACGGGTACGGCGATGGATGTGGATCACTGGCACTGTGACAGATGTGGATCACTGGTACTGTGGCAGATATGGACCACAGGCACTGTGACAGATGTGGATCACTGGCACTGTGACGGACGTCGATCACTGGCACTGTGACGGACGTCGATCACTGGCACTGTGACGGACGTCGATCACTGGCACTGTGACGGACGTCGATCACTGGCACTGTGACGGACGTCGATCACTGGCACGGTGACGGACGTCGATCACGGGTACGGTGACGGACGTCGATCACGGGTACGGTGACAGATGTGGATCACGGGTATGGCGATGGATGTGGATCACGGGTATGGCGATGGATGTGGATCATGGGTACGGCGACGGATGTGGATCACTGGCACTGTGACAGATGTGGATCACTGGTACTGTAACAGATGTGGATCACAGGCACTGTGACAGATGTGGATCACAGGCACTGTGCCAGATGTGGATCACAGGCACTGTGCCAGATGTGGATCACAGGCACTGTGACAGATGTGGATCACAGGCACTGTGACAGATGTGGATCACAGGCACTGTGACAGATGTGGATCACAGGCACTGTGACAGATGTGGATCACAGGCACTGTGACAGATGTGGATCACAGGCACTGTGACAGATGTGGATCACAGGCACTGTGACAGATGTGGATCACAGGCACTGTGACAGATGTGGATCACAGGCACTGTGACAGATGTGGATCACAGGCACTGTGACAGATGTGGATCACAGGCACTGTGACAGATGTGGATCACAGGCACTGTGACAGATGTGGATCACTGGTACTGTGGCAGATATGGATCACAGGCACTGTGACAGATGTGGATCACAGATGTAGATCACTTGTACTGTGACAGTTGTGGATCACTGATGTGGATCACTGTTACTGTGACAGGGTGATTTGTGGGCGATGTGCTTTTGTGTAACTCGCAGATCGTCTCCGTTTCTCTTCACTCATGGGCTCTGTATGAGGAGAGGCAGATTCGTTCACCTGAATGGCAGCTTTGTTGACATCACATGACGGCTGTGATTGGCCACAGCCGTCATGTGATCAGAAGGGCCAATCAGAGGGCCCTTCTGCCGAGCGGTGTTGCGTTGTTTCCAAGGGACATAGGCACACCAAAAGCGCGCAGCTGCACGGCCACACGTACGTGCATGTTTTGAATGACGTTCCTGAACGTACACTCAGAATGGCGAAGCTCCCACCTGGCAACTGCACATAACCGGCTAAAAGAGAAGTATGGGGTTTATCTCAAAAGCTCTGGCTACTCACCAACACCACACTCTTATATATCAATCAGGATGCAGTAGATACAGTTGTGCTCAAACGTTTGCATACCCTGGCAGAAATTGTGGCATTGATATTGAAAATGTGACTGATCATGCCAAAAAATACTCTTGTATTGAAGGATGATGATCATATGAAGCCATTTATTATCAAATAGTTGTTTGGCTCCTTTTTAAATCATAATAACAGAAATCACCCAAATTGCCATGATCCAAAGTTTGCATACAAGGTGACACACACACACGTGTTAAAATGCCAATTAGAGGTTAATGTCCCATCTGTGGCTTTTTAAATTGCATCTTATGTCCTTTGTCTTTATAAAGTTCCATTACCTTGTTACGCAGGACTTTTGACAGTTCTTTTCTGATCCCCATGGCTCAGTATCTAGCCTAGTCAATTCTTCCACGTAAGAGCTAACAAACTCTTTGACTATTTATACACTGACACTAATTGCAATTTAAAAAGATGTGGGACATTACATAAACAGATGTGGGACATTAACCTCTAATTGGCATTTTAACCCACAAACTTTTGATCATGGCCATTTGGGTGATTTCTGTTATCATTATGATTTAAATAGGAGCCAAACAACTATTTGATAGTACATGGCTTCATATGATCATCATCCTTCAATAACAGAGCATTTTTTGGTATGATCAGTCATATTTTCAATATCAATGCCAAAATTTCACAATTTCTACCAGGGTATGCAAACTTTTGAGTACAACTGTATATAAGGGCATGGTGTTGTTGACTAGCCTGGGCTTTTGAGAAAGCCAACTGGGGTGCAATGCATCAGGCGAGCAGTGACCTCATCACGCTGGGCGAAACTTAGATTCCAATTTGAAAAGTCGAGTATGCTACTAGCCTGTGACATGCCTCTATGAATTTTTTTAACATGTGACAGGAATTTTAACTTTTTTATGGAAATAAACTAGCAGTCTGCACTACTGGATGTTTCTTTACTTCCTGTTAATATATCTATTCCTGCGAGATTGATTATGACCAGGTGAATGCTGAAGAAGATCATGGTCTCTAACATAAACGTGCAACTGACCTTTCTTTTTTCAGTGGAGTCCATGATATAAGGTGAGGAGGTACCCATGAGGTGTGGTGAAAGGAAGGGTGGTGCTTGTTCATGCTGAAGAAAGTCATATTGTTGTTCTGACAAGAATATATTGATTGAATATTGCACGAAGATTGGTTGGTGTATGGGGCTCTCACATTGGACTATACGTTTATTTTTTCTCTTTCACAAAAGGATACTGAATACTGGGGGGATCTGTTTATGATAAAGAGTTATGGTTTGAGGTTATATGATATTTGATTTGTTATGTCATTTTGAAAGCACTTCACCAGTATTTGATTTTGAATACTCCTTCACTGCTACAGAGCTTGTGTAGTAGCAAGCAGTAAAGGGCAAAATCAATGACTAACAGCCCAAAAGACAAAATGAAAGTGGAAACAGTGTCCAAATTAACTACGAAAAAATTAATTGAGGGACAGAGAGAGTCTGATAGATTTATGTGATTCCACAAGCAAAACATGGTGAGAGGCAGGTGGCAATTTAGATTGAATAAGTTTGCTTGAGTGTTTTCCAAAGAATCTGCCAGTGTACCTGCAGAACAGAATCTGCGTGAATCTTTTTGGCAGTTAGTGGTTTATCTATTCAGAAGACCAAGGTGTAGTGGGATCTTACTAGTCTACAAAAAATATACTAATGAGGTTATGATCCTCAGGGGCTTGCAAATTAAGCCATTTTAGAGGAATGGAACAAAATAGAATATTTCCTGTGAACTCTGAATAGAATTGTTTGGCAAAGCTACGAAAGTGACCACCTTTTCTCATAAGCTATTAAACATTACTAAATACAACTTGCTCATTTTTACATGGGACTCAATAGCTGCATATCGTTTTACAAGCAGATTGTCAGTTTTTTTCTAGGAGAGCACCCTCCTTGGGATCGCTTCTTTTACCCAGTTTTTTTCAAAATTAGGTTTGATACTTGGCTTAAAGCGGAGCTCCACCCAAAAGGGGAAGTTCCGCTTAAAGGACTGCTCCCCCACTCCCCATTAAGGACTGGCACCTTTGGGGGGCAGAGCGGGGTACCCGAATTTGACAGGTACCCGCTCCCACTGCTGGTTCAATCGCCTAGGCGATTAGCCAGCAGTTGAGAAGCAGAGTGCAAGAATAGGTGTCTGAAAGAAACGAACTAGGTCCAAGTACCAGGCCTCCAGTACCAGGCAAGCACTTCAGGCAGGCCATTGTTATGTCCAAAGTAGGGCTGTGATACTGAAACATCCTGAAACACCTGATTTTCAGGATAATTACGGTGATGCTGCCCTTAAACTACCAACAGTTGTTGACTGAGGAATAAGTATCCAGCAGAGCTAGAGAAAAGACCCCCTTTTTTTCCAGGACACTTAGGAAAACAGATGGCTATTAGGCAGAGGAAGGGTATAGACCAGGGGCGGACTGACCATTTGGGCACTTCTCAGAGGCCCCATGAGCAGGACTGTCTTTTTGCATTGGCACCCCTGGGAACAGCTCAGGGGCCCCTGCAGTTCCCCTCCTCCCCAACAGTGTGGATCGTGTGTAGATAGAGCAGGTGATCATTGCAGCAGGTGGGGAAAATAACTGAAACCGATCTTTTGTGGCTCGCACTGCAGCAGCTGAAAGCTGACATCTCCTGCTCCAGCTGCAGACACACAGGGGGATATTCAGGATGGAAAGCGGGGAAGGGGCCGGTAAATATGTACTTGTATTTACTGGCTCCTTCCTTTTCTAAATGAACACAGTGAGCGATCGGTACTGATCACTCACTGTATTCATTCATAACTGAAGCATTGGAAACTCTGTCCACTATGCTTCAGTTTATGAATGGACAGGAGCTGCAGATCACCATCTCTATGGCAGGGGCCCCAGTGCATTATTTGCCCTATATCGTTAAGTCTCCTGCCACACTGCATGTTGCTGAGCTTGGTGTGTCATGAAGATGGCTGCTACTTGGTGCTCATCTTTAAAACTGGGAGCCCCATGATCTCCTATTGCCAGGCAACCCCAGGAATTATCAGTCTGCTCCTGGTATAGACACCAGGCAGAGTGTGTCTCTCCTGCCGGTGACAGTACATGTTATTAGACTGTCCAGCACTGTGTCTTTCAATGAATGCTGGAGGAATAATAATTCACTATTTCTGTTTTTCTCCTTCTAATGTAGATGGAATGAGAAAGAAGAAAATGTTTGCTTCAGTTGTCTGTCCAACAACATGCAGGTAAAAAAATAAACACTAAAGAGGGGAACAAATATAGCCAATGAAATCATACAGATACCCATATACAAAGCATGAAAAAGTAGAAAAAAAAAATCTGCTATCAGATAGGGAGCCTGTAGTCTATCCCTACTTCTGAATAGTTCAGACACAAGTCCATATCCACCTGAGCTTCCTATCAGGAAGCTGTCAAGTGGACAGCTAATTATTGGCGGTAGGGACATATCCCTTAGTCGCACATATATGAGCAGCTGAGGGCTGGGGAATGCCTCCGTCGCATATGATTGGCTGTCTGCTTTGACAGCTTCCTGGTGGGATAGCTTGGGTGGGTTCAAACATGCCTGAGCTCATCCCTGATTAACCACTTGCCTACCGGGCACTTATACCCCCCTCCTTACCAGGCCAATTTTCAGCTTTCAGCGCTGTCGCACTTTGAATGACAATTGCGCGATCATGCAACATTGCATGAAATTTTTATTTTTTTCTCACAAATAGAGCTTTCTTTTGGTGGTATTTACTTGCCACTGGGGGTTTTATTTTTTGCGCTATAAAAAAAATAGAGCAAAAAATCTGAAAAAAGGTTTCTTTGTTTCTATTATAAAATTTTGCAAAACAGGTAATTTTTCTCCTTTACTGATGTGCGTTGATGAGGCTGCACTGATGGGCGGCACTGATGATGGGTACTGATAGGCGGCACTGATAGGCGGCACTGACTGGCAGCACTGCTGGGCACTGACTGGCAGCACTGCTGGGCTGCACTAATTGGCAGAGGTGGGTGGCACTGATGGGCAGAGGTGGGTGGCATTGATGGGAACAGGTGGGTGGCACTGATGGGCACAGGTGGGTGGCACTGATGGGCACAGGTGGGTGGCACTGGTGGGCACAGGTGGGTGGCACTGGTGGGCGGCACTGCTGAGCACAGGTGGGTGGAACTGGTGGGTGCCACTGCTGGGCACCGATCATCAGTGCCCTGATAATCGGTGCTGATCCCTGCTCTGAGAACTGCCGGTTCTCGGCAGTACTTTCCCCACGTTCTGACAGCGTGAGGAAAGTGCAGCCGAGAACCGGCAATTGCATTTCCCTGTGATCAGCGTTTCATCGGTCACAGCTGATCACGTGGTAAAAAGCCGCTGTGATTGGCCTTTTACCACATCACATGATCGGCTTTGTCCATAGGACACAGCGATCACGGAGATCGCCGGGTGCACGCCCCAGAACTGACCGGCCGCAGTGTAGCCGTCATTCGGCTATCTGCAGTCGGCAACTAGTTAAGAGACTAATAATTACAAATTTTGATGTACTATGAGCAGTCCTATAGTGCACTAAAATTTATTTAAGTAGTACTGGAATAGATATCTTTGATTGATTGTATTGTTTCTTAGTGATATTTTGTCCAAACTGTCCATTAATTTTCTTTTAAAAGTGGACTGTCCATCTTGATTGAAAGTGAAAGATGAGAATGCTTAAATACAGTTAGTTTTTTTGCAGGTGCCAATAAATTGAATTTTAACATAATTAAACAGAACCAACAAGAAAATTTAAGGCACGAGTTACACAATTACCTTAACAGATTTCCCCCATCCAATGATAAGAGTCAGACTGTCTTTCCAAAAGAGACTGCAGGGGTACATGTCTGGACGTAGGCTTGTGTCATCTCTGGGCACATTGGTTATCCTTTGCCTTGTGATTATGTCAAGTATCTTCACTCCCTACATACAACACACAATGATAAAACAGATTTCTAAATTATTCAGCTATAACAGTGCACAAGAAAGCTTACATTTGTATCTGTCTGGTATACTGTACTTCTACTCAAATCACTCATATGTAAACCTTCAACTTGCAGATAACTAAAAAGCTACTTTACATACTAAAAGAGAGAACTACTGCAGCTATTACCAGATGAGGAAAGGGCAAAGCAACAAAAACATCCAGCCATATTTTTTCCAAAATAAGGGGCAGGCTTTCAGCAGAATGCATATTTTTAAACACAAAATTCAGGGATTAAAAAGCTTTTCACTTGTTCTTTTTATATTTGCATGTGCTTCTTGACAATAGCAATTTACAGTTGGAAACATAGATGCAGTCATTGCTGATGTCTCATTCAGAAAACACTAGCTGCCTGGCAGTCATGCTTTTACACTTTAAGTCCTTAAAATGCTCTGTCACCAACCATGCCTATTAAAGTGAAAGTAAACTCCACTTTTTAACTTGCACCTACAGGTAAGCCTATAATAGGGCTTACTAGGTACAGTGAATGTCTCTTAAATTTGAGTGTTTAGGAGATATTCACACTTGAAGCAGCCAGTAACGTCACCAGCGCACTGAGTGTGCCATCAATTCAGAGAGCTGTACCGCAATTGGGGCTCACATGCACTGGAGTGACGTCATTGCGGCCCGAGAGAGCGCACACACCCGGAAGGAAAGCTGGGTGAAGATGGAAGCGCAGGTCACAAAGGTATGATTGCGAAGAGTGGGATATTTTTCTCTGGAAAGATAAAAAACTTACCAAAGTCCAGAAAAGAGACACTGTCAATTTTTTCTTCGACCACATGTGTTCTCTAAGTGTAAAAACATTTTTACAAAATATCTTTTTAAAAATATTTTTCAGTATGTTTACAATTTTGTGTTGGGCCAAATTCATAACCATCTTTGGCTGGACACCCCTGGTCTACATGCTTGCTTGCTAGGAGGGAAGGCAAAAATGTGTAATATAATTCTTCATTTTTGTTTTTGTTTAAAACCCACCTCTGAACATTCCAACAGTCCTGCACAGTTGTACAGGCTCCTCTTCTCTACTGAAATTGTTTACTTACTCTGAGCTTCTCATAGTGTGTATTAAAAGCTGCAGCAGAGTTCAACTCCTCATTTCCTGGCTAGAGGACATCCAGCATTATCTAACTCAGCCATTCTCAACCAGGATTTCGTAGAATCAAATGTTCCTCCTTGAATTGTTGCTGACTGACCTCCCATCTGATGATTCCAGTCCAACGCCACTTAGCAGGACCAACAACATCTCACCAATGATCTTTTTAGCTGTTTGCAAGGGTGACATTCTGATCACTACTATAGGGGAGCAATTCTTCATTGACCACTAAGGTTATGGCATTTTTCTCACCAACCCCCATGACTTCATTTTAGCAGGGGTTCCTTGAAATCTAATAATATTTGCAAGGGTTCCTCTGAGGTAAAACAGTTGAGAAAGGCTTATCGATCTCTTTCTCTCTAGCCTTGTTGTCCCTGGGCTGTCATTTGCATTGACTAGATTTCAGTTCATGTAGGCTCTGCATCACGAGGACATAGTTTCAATCTGGTAGTCTCTGCATCACATAGACATTACCAATGTCCACTTCTCCAGACTGAAATCCACCTACCAAGGCATTTTGATAACTGCATAACTCCTCTCAAAAGCCAGTTCACAAATTGCCATGATCAGCCAGCATTGTATAGCGTAGTGAATGTTTTATTTTATTTTATTTAAGAATTTCATTAGCATTTTGGTGTGGAAGGACAAGAGGAACCAGGGAAGGAAAAACTATAAGCAGATAACAGCACTAAGCACAATCAATTCATAAAACATATGAAAAAATATAAATATTTCCCAGTAAAAATAAAGAAAAAACTTTGCTGTTGGGGGGCTTTGAACCCCATTTGATGCCTGTAACATCAACATATGGATTTGATTATTCAAAAGTATAACCCTGATATAAAGGTAGGAACCAAGCCATAAAAATGAGAATGTATTTGAGCCAATACTCAAAAGTTTTTTCTCCGTCATTGATGCAATCATAGCTGAATTATTCATACAGAGGCAACCACGGCTATATAAATCTAAATTTACGAAGTCATTGCCCATCAAGAGGTTTTCTTGCTATTTAGGTGATTGAAGTGGAGACAAAGGGTACTGGCAGTGATCAGAAAGTGATGATCCATTATAACAATATTTATTCTGACTCAACATCACACTGTCATGTAAATAACAGCTCATTCCCACAGCACTTCAATAAAATACAAATAAATAATTACTCCACACCAACTCTGTAAAAAGGTTCTGTATGAAGCTGCAGACAATAAATTAGTGTAGTATTTGGAATAAAATGAAGACACATAAACAAAGATTCCTCTGTTATTCTGCACATTACAGAACAGATACTGAACAAGTAGACATTATAAATACTACTTATTAGTTGATAGTGTGTTAACCGAGAGTCCAGTGGCCTCTTTCTCCTTTAATCCTTGATCCCCAGTGATTTTGGCGGTGTCTTGGTTATAGCGGATATAGCATTTGCAATCTATCCTAAGTTTTTGTTTAACAGATTATATAGATATATTTTTATTTCCTTTTTAGTGCAAAATTGGAAAAAAAATACCAGTTACACTTAACGGTAACGGTGTTTCTGGGAAGTTTTCCAGGACAGCACAACTGAGAGATGACTAGCTCCACCTGACAGGAAACACAATCAAAAATTGACAGAGTTTAAATTCCCCACCCTTCCCTCCACTCCTCAGTTATGCAAGAGTATTCCAGCACCCTGGAGCACGAAAGGTATTCTTCCTCAAATTAATCAACACCAGACACAGGTGGGTAGTAGGCCTGCTGTCCTGGAAGATTTCCCAGAAACACCGTTACCGGTAAGTGTAACTGGTACTTTTCTCTAGTCCTCTTCTAGGATGGCACATTTGAGACGAGAAGCAAGGAACTGAGGCGTACCTTAGGGCAGGACCACTGCCTGTAATACTTTCCTGTCGAACGCCAGGTCCTGAGGTGACTACAGCTCTACCCTGTAGTGCCTCACTAAGGTGTCCCGGCCTGTGCATCTGGCTGCTCGGCAGATCTGTTCAATCGATGCTCCAGCCCAAGAGGTCGCAAGCGATGAAGCAGAGTGAACCCTCAGGTGCAAAGGAACTGAAACCCCTTACTGCTCATAAGCTAAGGAGATGGCTTGTCTGATCTATCTAGCTATTGATAGTTTAGATGCTTGCTGTCCATTCCTCGGGCCACTAAACAAAATCAAAAGGTGACTCGACTTCCTGAAGTTTATTACTCTATCCAAATATACCAGCAAACACCGTCCGACACTTAAAAAATTAAAACTCTTTTCCCTCTCATTCTTAGGGTTTTGACAAAAAGACGGTAAGACAATCTCTTATGTCCTATGAAACCATGATGCCACCTTCAGCAAATTAAGAGGATCCTGTCTAAGCCCTACCCTGTCCTCTAATACCACCAGGAAGGGTTCCTTGATTGACAGTCTCTGAAGGTCGCCTATCCTCTTTGCCACTGTGATAGCCAACAGGAAAGCTAACTTAAAACATAAAATCTAACAGAAATCTGTGACACTGGCTCAAACGGTGGCTTGGTTAAAGCCTCTAATACTAAGGTCAGATCCAAAGCCGAAAAAAACTATGTATATTAATGGGGGGTCACTCTTTCCCTGGCCCCCAGAAACCTCTTAGCTAGGGGCTCCAACGCGAGTCTCTGGTCCAAATAGACTGATAAGACCGCCACTTGCGCCTTTAGGGTGCTTACAGCTATACCTTTATCCACCCCTGTCTGGAGAAAGTCTAGGATCACAGGGACCGTAGAAATGGAAAACCCCTTCTCTTGACACTAGAAAACACTCCCCACACCTTGGTGTATATCTTTCTAGTAACCAGTTTACTACTGAGGAAAAGAGTGTCTATCACTCACTCAGAACACCCCCTTCTTCTAAGGATCTCCCCTTCAAGCGCCAAGCTGTTACCAAAAAAAAAAAACTCTGGACTGGGGTGCAGAGTTTGCCCCTGCAAGAAAAAATCCTTCCTGACTGGGAAACGCTGCGGGGGAGCCACAGAACACCTCTTCAAAGTGGCGAACCAGGTTTTTCTTGGCCAACACAGAGCTAGCAGGATCAGTCTGCAGATTGCCCGGCTCAACTTCCGTAGCACCCGCGGGATCAATGCCAGAGGGGGGAATGCATATGCCAGCTCAAAGTCTCATTTTCTGTGGTAACACATCCAGACCCTCAAACCGCTGTTCCCACTCCATGGAGAATTAACGTATCACTTTCCTGTTTTTCCTGCAGGCAACAAGGTCTATTTCTGGGCTGACAAAAAACCTGACTTTGCTGCAAAAAGACCTCAGGATTGAGTTCCTACTCCCCCTGGTGGATTTAACTGTTGGCTGAGTAAGTCTGCTTTTCTGTTGGCCGAGCCCTTTATGTGAACAGAGGACACTGAAAGGACCCTGCTCTCCACCCATCCTAGAACCTCCTGACCTAGGTCCAGGAGCTTCCGGGATCTGGTCCCCCCCTGATGATTCAGCAATGCCACTGTCAACATATTGTCTGACAGAACTTGGACTTCTTTTCCTCCAATCTGGTCTTCGAAGGACTTCAAGGCCTGTCTTACTGCCAGCAACTCCCTGTAATTGGAGAAAGTCCCCTTAGGTGTGGCTCTCACAGGGCCTGGACTTGCCGGTCCTCTAGATCAGCTCCCCAGCCACACTCACTTGCATCCATGGTTACCCGCACTGAATCCAACTGCATCCACTGTCTTCCTTCCCACAGATTCTGGGACCTGAGCCACCATCTCAGCAAGTTTTTTTACATTCTCTAGGAGGGAAACCCTCTCATCCATCGATTACGGTTTCCTGTGACAAAAGGATAGAAGGAAGAACTGAAGCTCCATGGAATGTAACTGTGCCCACTCCACGGCCTGAATGCAGGCT